CATTTTCTTTCTTTAACTCTATAGAATGGTCAAGTGCCCCGCGCGAAGATGGTAAGTCTTTTGCCCCTGTGTCATCTGCAAATAAATGAGCAAAATCCTTGACTTGGTCAGGTAGGCGATTCCGCGCTATTTCTAACGAAACACCCGGTTTTCCACGTAATGCTTTACTTATATCTTCGAGCGATGCCTTGCAAACTGGGACAGTCTGGACCATTAACGCCATAGTTTTGATTGGAACATTCTTTGGCCGAGCCACATTTCTCAAATCTTGTCGCCATCGCTCGACGCTGCATACAGATCCACCATACTTGCGAAGCTCCAATCGCTGCTCTTTAGAATGAATTACAGCATCTTGTTCTTCAAGCCATTTTTTCCCTAATATCAACTGATGTGTGCTCTGAGGGACAATGTAGAGCCACAGTTTTGGGGTGATATATCCATCAAGATCTAGTGATATGTACGTAATTTTATCCACAGTTGGCTTGTTTGTAGATGAATTATCTGCAGTTTCTAGTAGTCTTGGTGTAATCGGAATGCGCGGCAGTCGCAGTTTTTCAGCTAATGCTTCATCAATAATTCCAAAACACAAGCAACCATTGTCTACTAATGCTTGTACCATTTTTGTATCATTTAATAATGCATTTAAAAGAAAAGGTTTTGTATTCATGCTCGCTTCAAAACTGCTGACTGTTTCTGGCTCCTGAGCGCGACTATGTTCAGGAGCCTTTAGTTTTCCGATTCCACTTCCACTTCCTCCACATAGTACATTGATGGGTCTATTTCCGGCAATGACGTAGATGTAACCCTGACTGAATTACCTCTAGGCTTTAAAGCCGGCAATAGAGGACACTTTCTGGTTATACACCCTTTCCGCTCACATCTAAAGCAACGGCCTTCTTGTCTCAATATTTCTAATTGAGATTTAGTTTTCCACATTGCTCGCCGGCGTTCATCTTTTACCACACCCATTGCGTTAACACCGCCCATAACAATGTCCCCTGACTTATCCACCGCCCCGTCCTTTCCGAGGTTACTGAATCGACTATCGAAATTATCTGATATTTGATTATGCGGTAACCAATTGATTCCGTTATTTCCGATAGTGCGTCCCTTATCTCGATTTCCATGCCATAGATTCGCATCAGGGTATGTGTAATCCCGTCTTCCATAGAATCGACTCTCAGCTATCTCAAACTGCTGTGCAACCCTGTTCACTATATTCACCCATTCATTGAAATCATCGTCAGGCAACATGTGATTTGAGGCTAGCGCCATAGTCAACTTTTTGTTTAAAGCATTCTGGAGCAGGGAGATTTTGTTGTCATCTGGCCAAAAATCACCTCGGGCCTCAGTCAATTTGTTCGACCAAGATGCTAGAAAGTCCGACCAGTGTTGTTTATCCTCCATTTTCATAGACTGTAGCTCTGTTTTAGCACGAGAAATTCTTGTCGAATCTAGAAAAAGCCTGTCGAGGAATTCAATGAAATCTTCGGGATCTCTGGTATTCCGAACTCCGCCAGCTTCGTAGAACGAGCTGGCCTTTGTTCTTGCCGTGCCCTTCAGTGCGTTATAGATCATCAGGAAAGCTCGAGAATTGTCGTATCCGAAAAGATTCCAGTCCATACGGAAAGTATCCAAGACAGCAGCACGCCATGCTGGGTATTCAGCTCTAATTCCAATGAATTCCGGAAGCTTTGTCGGCTTTAGACTGGTGTGCTCGCTTGGTGGTGGATCCTTCTCAATGATAAATCTTTTAGTAGACGTAGGTTTACAAGATTGCTTTTCGAGCAATTTTTTAAACTGATGCTGAAGTTCGCGGAATTCCTCGATAGGTACCATCTGGTGGCGTCCCCCGGTTACCGATGATGTCATTATTATTGAGATTTATTACTGAATGACTACAACTCACTGCGGTTCCGAGTTACTGTGACTGACTACGATTCTGAATTTCTGCGACTGACTGCGGTTCTGAATTACTGCGACTGACTGCGATACTGAATTACTGCGACTGACTGCGGTTCTGAATGCCTGAATGAGAGAAAATAATATGTCACGGTTCGAGGTATAGATGCTGGGGCGATCAAATATACGAAGGTTGTTTATTATTTTCTCTATGGCTATCTATGTACGTCCAACTTCAACTATTTATTCGCTTACTATTCTATCTAGAATATTCTTGACTAATACCAGTTTCTAGTATTTTCCCCTGAGGCTGGTTCGCAGTCTTACTACTATTTGCTAGAAATTTCTAGTGATGTCCAGATTAATCTATGATAGAATAGTGGTTTCGTAAAGTTGTGAAGCACGTGATTAACATCATGTGCCACAGGGTAATTACCGGCTCACTAGCCGTTACACTGCCATGCACTTGGATGTGTCCAAATATCTAAGAAGAGCTTCCTTTCTGTAAAAGGTTTAAAGAAGTCAGAAGTATTTGAAGTCGATAACTCAATGGGAATGAATAATTTTTCCTTGGGAAGCTGTCATGTAGAGACATGATTCATTCATGAGTTGATATTGTTCAGACGATCATGACTATATCACAACGTCATGTACAGCCACGATTCATCGTTTGTACCTGTTGTATCAACTATGACTATGTCTCAGTGATATGAGAAACATCATTGACTAGTTACTAGAAACCTAATCAAGATCCTAAACACACAACTGAGACTAGGAGAATTTTACTGAGTAAGTAATTATTCTGATGAATCTAGATCTAGAGGAACATAATCTGGTTGTTTGGCTCGAGGTTTATGAACCTGAGCATATCATGTATTATAAACTGTATAGAAATCTATCTTAATCACAATCATCATCTTAATTCATGTCACCATCAATAGCTGCATAGGACAGTTTAACCATTTCCTTATACAAGGTGTGTCTGTTTGGTATAAGAGCTAGCCGAGTAGGGCAAGACTGAACACCTGAACGCGGTGTCCTCTACGAACCTGGGAGTGAATTATTCTCCCAGAGCCAAGTCCAGTCAAATTTTGCAATATCGAAGAAGTTGGCCCACGAGGCAATGATTCAATTTACTCTACCACGTCGTTTTTTCGCTCCCAACGAGTCTAACGCTTACCTAAGTCTCATCAAGTCTACAAGTACGATCTAGTACATCCTCATCCCAATGACCACACCTCTCTTCGACCTTCTCTGGCCTCAGCCGTTCACCAAATACACGCCCACGCCGATATTTATACCCGACGGAGGAAGCAAAGCGTGGAGCACAAATCTGGGAGACAGTTCTTTGAGATGGACGTGAGAGGGATCAGGACAAGTTTACAAGATGATTCAAAGGAAGGATATAACCTCGAAGGGCATGAAATTCCGAATTTTGGCAGGGAGTTTTAAGAATTGGCCTTTGTGCACGCCAAGACTTCGCTTGCGAGAGTGCAGCTTACACTATAAACACAAGCAAACGATGGAAGGTGTTGTGGTCCGCCTCCTGGTGGTGTTCTCTGGTATGGTTTGAGTAGCCTGGGCACCTACTCCACTTGGGAAGGAGACACCTAAGACCATATTTCGCGCGGAGAAAAGTTGATGGATGACGGAGGCATGTCTGGATAACTCAGGGTTTTTGAGACGTTCCCCTGGGTGGGTATTCACGGATGAGGGTTGACTTGGGGTGAAGAAAAAGCCACCATAACTTCGCAGTGGTACTTGCAAATGAAATCTGAGGCATGAATGCTCCTATTATAAACTGAGTCATCTTTTCTGTACTTTTCTCTGATATTGTGTCATAGCTAGATAGCTGCATGCACAATTAAAATCTGATGCAAAAAAAAAGGGCTAGCCGAGATAGTCAAGGTCAAGCGTAGGAGTCGCGTCAATAACGCTACTCATGTAGATCAGTCGCGTGGAGACAGTTTGTACTTAGCTTTAGCCCATATTGGAATATTATCGTGTAATTTATTAGAATGAGATTCTTGTATACGAGTGGTACGTAAGTACTGGAAGTAGAATTTATAAAGTATTGAGTTAATCTATCGCGTATGATTCTCGCTGTCGCAGCATCCTTCAATGCTGCGCCCATACTCCTATTAATGTGTCTGCCAGCCTCGTCTATGCGCTAATACGGAACTACAAATACAGGGTATCTAAGATCTCAAAACGCCTTACCCTCTACACTCCTAATTAAGTAATAAATACAACCATAACTCCATTATGTTCAGGCACAGGAATGATTATGTTTGACCAACAATCATATAATTCAACATAATTGATGATACTAGAATGATATGAATAATGAATCCCGATAATATTTGATTGATTACTTGCTTATTATTGTTGTTGCTTCTATCTGAACATAAATATATCGCTATATCATATACAAGTCTCTTGTGCTAGCCTTTATCCCACATGACTACGCCAGTACTACTTGATCGTAAACTGAGACTCATTGACCCATTTATATCTCCCGTTGCCTACGTATCACTAGACCCTAGGTTCACAACTATGACACAATGCTAAGTATATATGATACCCCTTGGCTGCGACTTCCTGACCCGGATGTTTCACCCAAGCATATATAACTCTGCCTCAAACTCGTCATGCGTGGTGGTTTGGCGCCCCTGCCAAGATATCTATTACAGACCTTGTATCTGTCGTAAAAAGTCATTTACAAGTCATGCTCACGATATTCACAACAGTCCATCTCACTCTCATGAATGCAATACTATCGTTTCTCATTCTATCTGACTTCCTTCCGCTGTGCTAATTCCCTTGTCTCCTCTACAGTCATACAGCTATATAAGGCCTCCCAATTTAATAAATTCTTCGATAAGCATTTCCAAGACAAATCTATAAATAGAGATTATTTGGAGGACTATTCTTTTAACATTAATCTTTTGACTGCCTATCACATCTTGTGAATCAATTTTCTTCTCTTTGAATTAAAAAATTTTGAAGATTCAAATTGAACACATGTATGTAATTGGAAAACCAACTTTCTAGTCAGGGAAGCCTAATAGTTCAACTATTGCTAAAAATATTAAGCTTTAATTTTTTGTACAAAGTGATGTATTGCGTCCGCCCCCAGATACCCTATACTCTAGAAGTACTATTTTCTTTGATGGATGTTTGATAATAATCTTATATGTACTAGAAGCTTTAGGTAGAGAGAAATATTAGTAGGTGTTTCATTACCAAGGTAGTAAAATCAACTTACATGTGATCTGAGGTTTAAAGTCGCTCATGAAAGACAATCCTGCATCATCATCATCTTCTTCTAAATCACCTTCATCATCATCAAAAACGATATCTTCTACTTGATCTTGACCAGGAGTCCGCTTAGCGTTGAGGGATAATCCTTTTGAGTAAATCTGATTTGCTCTTGTCTCGACATCACTATCCGGTATTTGAGCTCCACCTGGGCATACATAGACTGCAGCACTTTCCAGAATGAAAAAGCCAAAGAAAAAGGACAATGAAGCAAGATTAGCAGATTTCATTTCGAATATCTCTCTAGAAATTCTATTGGTTAGAAGTCTTTCTTATATTTTGATTTATGACTGGATTCACACCAATACATGGAAGGAAAACTTACTAATAAAGTGATTGAAGAATGTTAACTACAAATTGATGAGATAATGATGATGATGATGGTTAAAACCATATCTTATATATTTGAAAGAACCGTTTTTGAGGTGTATTTTCTGACAATTCAATTCAATCTTTAAGTGTATTAGTGATAAATTAGCTCAGACTCCTAGCAAATGTAAAAATATAAACAATCTTACTTAAATTAGAGATTTATTTAGCTCTAAATTAGTTCTCCTTCAGCTTGTACTTGAATCCTGAATGAAGCTATTTCATGACTAGATGAAAAGATTCTCATTCCTTTTCAGATAAAATTGTTATCGGTTGTAGAATGTCAAAAATAATACTCATTATGTGGGGGTAAACTTGAATTTACTTGGTTACCCTGACGGAGTTTAACTGTCTATTATCTCTTGTATGATGTGCACTAATGACCACATGTTCACCAAACAGGGAAAACATCAATGTTACAACCTCAGCTTCACAGAAGATAAATTTAAAGAAATGTATAAAAAAAAACCCTTGTTTATCAATAGGGCGTTCTGCTTCTCATTTAGGATTAATATCAGATAAATCTTTATCACACTTCACTCCAAATACCTGTTGTAGCTTCCAAGATAATACCAAGATCTCGTAACAGCTACTGATATATGCAGGTATGCTGAGTCGGGAAATCCTTGTGCATACAGCGTTATTGGTAACTAGCCTAAACCTCAAGAATTTGGGCTCATTAAAGGAACAGTGTGAAAGTTGGCAAGCCGGTATTTGGCTGTAGCCTTCGCTAACTAAGGCAGGATTAGCTTAGAGCCATTTGGAATCTATTCTCGGAAGCAGAGTCTTACAAGTGGCAATATGACTATTGTAAAACCTCCGAGGATGAGACATGGTGTGAGGTACAGGATTTCACGGACTGAGGGCCTCATCTGAAGAAAGGAACTAAGTCCGAAGATTTCTGAGCTATTCTGCTCTATAATATCCTCATCTGTTCTGTTCTGTTCTATCCTACTCCATTCCACTCTAATCTATCCTTGTCATACCATTCTATTATAATCTAATCTATTCTACATGAGGGTATACTGGAAAATTGGAAAATTGGAGAACAATAGAAACGAATATATAATGGCTATTCTGAGTGATATAGGTTCGGCATTTGATAGTCTTTTATTCTCAGGAACCCTTTCGATCACGATGAGTTTGTTTGAATCTTGACATCTAAACACAAGAGTAGAATATCTGAACAGGATAGAGATATCCAAATAGGAAAGGGTGTCATTGCTAGGGAAAGTGTTGGAAATACAATTTCCTGCTTTTCTTTCTATCGACCAAAGTGGTTGCATGCATCTTGCCTGAACTAGATTTCTGAGTTCAGGCAGGAGCCCATACTTCTGATCCAATCGGACTCAACGTTTGAGTCAGCTTGAATCCCATTCTTCCCGAACAAATCCAGTCATTAGTTTGTTCGAATTTCCTATTGCATGACCCAGTATTCTGAGTCAGTGGATAATTCTTTTCTGGTCTAAGATCTCACTCATTTCTGCAGTCGCGTCGGTTCCGGATAACCTTTCTTCCTTGTAATTCCGCTGTACAGGCTCTTAAGGATGCCTAATGTACAATTTTCAAAATGACTGGGGTAAGATCCCTACAGTGCCTCTATATTGCCTCTGGGATGTAAAATGTCGACCTCGAAAGTGGGTTATTTAAGGGATTGGCCCTATAGGCGAATTTGGGCCAGCTTGTAATAGGTTAGACTGTCTCTCCTCATAACCCCGCTCGCCATGAAGTATGGTCCAGTTGTCTTCTTCAGACAATCGGTTAGAGAAACAAATATTTAACAACACTTTTGATTGTTTAACCTACATGTCACGGTTTCGAGGGACAAGTGCTGGAGCAAAAATATGGTCGATGGTAGTAAATAATAATTCTAAGGAGAGAACTTCCACTACATCTATCTATTCATTTATATACGTGAAAGCCTCCTTGCCACCGAGGCTAATCCCTCTCCTGTTCCTATGCCGTGGGACTCCCCTAGTGTTCTGACTATGCCTGTAATATAATACTATCGCTTTATGGTCCGGAGGGATTGTACTCGGTCTCGTATATTCCCAGTTAGTGTAAGCCTATCAATATGTGGTGCAGTGCCGTACTGCCGTGCCGTGCCGTACTGCCGAGTCCGATGACATGTGAATACCATGCAAATGCCGACGCAAAAGTATTGTGCTGGGTGGCGTCGCATATTAGCGCATTGGTAGTCATTAATAACGCCACTCGAATCAGGCCTAAGTTAACCAACATTGGCTACAGGGACCAATCGGCTGACCAGCCGTTACACTACACAGCCCTTGAAACTTAACACCACTATGAATTCATCCTCTATTCAAGCAAACAATGTCTCTCGAAAAGTCTGCTTCAGAAACTAAAGTTCGCAAGCATCTATCTCGCGACCAATGTATTGAAAAAAGAACATTAAAAAGACTAGGCTTGACATCACAACATATATCCGACGAACTTAGCTTCATAATAAGGCAAATGCAACTTGCGTGTGCTCGAGAGACTGAGAATCCTAAGCCTCGCAAAAAATGCTCACCTAAATAAAGCGCGGAACAAATTGATGAGCTTGAGGCTTTCGTCCGGGAATCTGCTGAAAATCAACAGATGTGCTATTTGGGTCTAGCGATGGGACCCTTCAGACACTGGGAATGCAATGAGCATATACTTTCAAATGCCCTCAAAAAAAGAGGTTACAGTAGATGAATTGCTCGGAAGAATCGTCCGCTAAGCGTGGTTAACATGCACGAAAGATGTATAGCGGTGATAAAAGAAAATGGATGGTACACAAAGTATTGGGATGGAGCAGAATAATTCAAAACATGAAGTACGCTTTCATTTTAGTTGCGAGCCATACTGAGGGCTTCGATGTATATGGTTGTAATACAAAGCAATTATTTTTGAAATAGATGTGTATTTGTAGAGAATATCAATTGGTATTTTTTAATTTTGAATTTTAAATGAGGACCATCGTACTTTTCCATTGGTGTTGAAAGCCGTCCCCATTAATTTAGACTTTCACCTAATATTGTTAGATAGTACCCCTGCTTGCAAATCTAGTCGGCGAACTAGACATGGGCCTGCATGAAGACTAATCTAATCTAATCAATATGCATAGGGATCTAGCCCCAGTCATTTTGACAATTGTACTTTTAACATCCTTAAAAGACTGTAGTTCTTCGACTAATTAAGCATGCCAGGGGTACTATCCAACGATATTACGTGAAAGTCAAAATTAATGGGGACGGTTTTCAACACCAAAGGAAAAGTGCAATGGTCCTCATTTAAAATTCAAAATTAAAAAATACCAATTGATATTCTCTACAAATACACATCTATTTCAAAAATAATTGCTTTGTATTATAATAGTATACATCGAAGCCCTCAGTATGGCTCGCAACTAAACTGAAAGAGTACCACATGTTGGAATTTGCCACATTTCTTACGATAATCGGCATTCCTTGCAAATATGAATAACTTCCCTACATGCCGCCTAATACATCCTGTATTCTACATTTTAATTTGCCGGCAAAGATGAATTCTTCACCTTCCAGTGGTGCCGGTGTAATCGCTCAGTATGCTCTGCATATCTGGGATAGCCAAGAAGAATCGCATCCGAATCGTAGTCGAAAGAATACACACGCATATCTCCATTTGACGACTTCTCAACCATGCAGCACTCACCATTATCTTCTGAGTCCTCAACCCCTCCACACGCACACTATCTCGCCTCAATGACCGATAAAGAAGTCACCCCAATTGCACACAGGAGCTTGCCTCATTCATCACCGGCCATCACTCACTACAAATTTACGACGCTGCATATACCCGCAAGGATGAAATTAAGTCATAATATACAAAATTGGGATCTTGGTGTATGGGGGACTGATGCTCTAATGGGGTTATACATCTTGAGGAAGGACAGGCGGCTGAGATCTGGAGCGAGAGGGGAAAGAGGTCTCCGAAGAGCATGCTGAGACTGACATTTTCGAGGAGCTTTCAACTTCGGATTTTTTGTGGGCGCAAAGACCGAGATCTCGGCTAATTAGCCAGGAGAGCTTCTTTTGTCGATGAGTCAACGGTACTCCCCAGCGCCCTGGATGTCACAAAAGAAGCTAGGCTAAGCTACTATATAGCAATCACGCTCTGTCAAGACTTTTCTGACATTTCACCACAACCTTCGGGAAGGAGTTGGAAGGAGGCTAGAAAGGCAGAGTGTGAATTCTCTGAGGTACCCACAAGTCTGCAGCGCCCAGCTGGCCGGCCTCTTCGAACGCTTCGGAAGGGTCACAATGTCTTCGGATTTAGTCCTAATGTCGGTATTAGAAGAGCCCCACACCCAGTGTTTTTGCGATTTTTCCCGGCTGCCATACACCCGCAAATGGCCATTGTTTTCGTTGGCTGGAGAGGGGAGATAATGAAGGGCAAAGGGCTTCTCTAAGTGTATGATCGAATGAGGACTTGTGAGAGATGGTACTATTTGAGGGGAGTTGTATGGGAGGCATAGGAGGGGATATACTACTGGTATAGGTATCCTTGGCCTGTAGGTAGAGAGGACTTGCATGTCCTATAAAGTCATAGACTCAGACAGTACAATAAAATGAATTTATTAATTAATGTAGAATTTCCGGATTTTCCACGTGAAGTTGATTCAAAAGAAGCAAAACCCTTTTACAAAAGGATCAGGCCCTCATTGATCCCCAATCCTTCTCCCAGACTAGGAATGGGTCTTTTTGAGATCCATAAAATGATCCCCAAAACATCCAGCTGTTCCCATAAGCATGACGAGCTACAATACAAGTCTCATCAAACTCATCATCAGGCCAAACTCTCCCAAGTTTCTCTACTTTTACCCCAACTCTCAGCT